TAGCGCGGCTCCTCCTGAAACTGACCAGCAGCGGCTGAATCAGGACGCCTGGGGCAGAGCAGCTGGGGTGCTGCCGGGTTGGTCCGGAGCGGTGCTGTGGGACCAACCCAGCAGCCCCCAGATGCTCTACCCCAGGGGTAGGCAAGAAAAGCCTGGTCTGCACGCTGGAGACAGCGATGGAGGGTGCCGGCTTCTCTGCAGCGAGGGAAAGTGATTAGTATGGGAGGGCAGGTTCCAGGGTGAGTCAGAAATGAGGGGTTCAGGATGTAGATGGGAAGATAGTGTGCGAGAGGGTGAGGGCTCCAGCTGGGGGTGCAGGCTTTGGGGCAGGGCCAGGGATGAGTTTTTTGGGGTGCAGGAGTGGGGCTCCAGAATGGGGCTGAGGGGTTCAGAGTGTGGAGATAGAGTGGGGTTGGTCTTGGAGAGGGAGTTTGGATGTGAAAGGAGGTGTGGTGGATGGGCTCTGGGAAGGAGTTTGGGTGCAGGAGGGGGCTTAGGGCAAGGGGTAGGGCACTAGATCCAAGCAGTACTCACCTTGGGCAATCTCCACAAGTGACAACATGCCCTTGCTGCTACGACTTGGAGGCACAACTAGGCAGCTATGTGCATTGCTTCTGTCTGCAGGCACCTTCCCCCTCCCCCCGTTTCCATTGGTTGTGACTTCTGGCTAATGGGAACTGCACAGCTAGCACTCAGGGTGAGGTGGAGCACAGGCAGCACATGGACTCCACATAGCTCTTCCTTCTTGAGGACAGCATTTCTCAAATGTGGCCACAGGGGCTTTTCTTGCTACCACAGCCTCCTGCCTGGTGATGGGAGTGGGAACAATGCAGTGGCTTTGGGGCTTTGCCGGGGGGCAGGACCCAATTGTGGAACCCCAAAGTTGGATGAAAAAGCATCCAGGGAGCTGCCCACCTTCCTGGGGCTGGTGCAGTCAGGATTCAGGTCTAAAATGGCAGGCTGTATCCACGTGGCTTCTCCAGGCTCTGTGCTCTGGCTAAGAGGTGGTAGGATCTGACCCAAAGTTTATCATGCCTCCATACCAACCTACCCATCTAAGGCTTAAGTTGTCTTTAGGCTTCCTGAGGCAGAGTAAGTCTGCTGTGAAAAAAAAAAAAAAAAAAGATATTTGTATGTTTGTTAATATTATTTTTCCACAGTAAACTTAGTGGCTAGCAAGTCTAAAAAAAAAACCTAAAAAGCAAAGGGGGGGGGGGGAAATGGCTGTGCAAAGCATCTTGTGTTTCTATTTTGTTTAGGTCCTGTAAAAAATAGGGACAGCTGTACATTATTTTTAAGTTTGGAAAAAATCCTACGTAAATAGTATATATCTTTCTCATTACCTTACTAGAAGACTTACCCAGTGTTGCTCGGGTCTTTCAGGGCAGGAGGTCGGTGAGTGTAGGAGTCAAGGTTGGGGGCAGTGAGGAGGTTTTCAGAGTGTGGGAGCTCCCTGGGAACGGCTCAGGGCAGCAGATGCTCTGCAGGGGCTGCATGGTAGGGGCCAGCCTGGGGTGGGTGGTGGATGTGCTGCCAGTTGTACTCCTGGGGTAGCCAGTGGCAAGGATTGTGTTCCTGGCCAGCAGCTGCTCCCATGGTCATTCTGTGTTACAATTGTCCCATATGCTTGCTGCCCCCTTGTGATCATTCATAAGTATAACTGTTGCTGCTGTCTCGCCTCCTCCCTTTCCATTTGATGAGAAACAAATCACATTCCACGCACATCCCATTGTCCTGGCACAGCCAAACCCTGACCTTGCTTTAAGTTATGATAAGAGGATGAAGATACATATTTGGAGTCCTAGCTCTTACCATTTAGGATGAGTTCTTGAACAAACGGTCTCTCAGACAGATAAACACACAGATAATTGACACACAAACTGAACGCTCTCAAATATATAGTAGATGGATCACAGGAAAGGCATATTTCAAGTCTGACCTCTGGTGCAGAAGACCAGCAGCTGACAGATAGAAAATGGAACAGGTAGTGACCACCTGATAATTAACCAACCTAATACCAATGGATGATGAAGTAGCATCAGCGATATTAAACACCACATGTCTTTTCTGCAGGCACTGTAAGAAGATTTTAAAAGGGACTGCATACGATCGACCAAATTGTGGAACTGTGTAGCATCCTCAGAAGGGGAAGGAGTCCAAAGCCACTCCTACCTGTTCACCTGGGGATAAGATGGGCTCATAAACCATTTTGGAATGTTTCTGTTCAAACAGAGGCACTACCGCTTCACCTTCTCCTTTAGACATTTTATTGGGCATCTCTGTTGGTAAAGTAGATGGATCAGGAGCTGGGCCCACGGATTTTGGGATTGTCAGATCTTTAACAGATAAAACATTTCCTTCTCCATGTGATTGGAGGATAACTGAAAAATTGCTGAAGTGGCCTCCCAATACAGCCATGAACCCCAGGACTGCCAATCTCCCCAGAACCAGGGTGCAGGAAACATATATGATCCGCATTCTGCAGGCATGTGTTTCAAAACAAGCCACAGATCGCTATATTCTTGTTTTGTCTTCTTCCCAGTAAAGATCTTTACTAAGACTGTACTAAGGGTAGTAGCAGGTCTGAATGTAGGTGTGAGATCCAGGTCTTGGAGTCTCCATCAGAGTCCAGAGGAGGAAAGAATTCTGGAGGAAGACCAATAGCAACCTCTGAGCTTTTCTTCCTAACAGTGGATGATGAAGAATGTGGAACTAGGGAAACATGTCTCCTTTTGGAAACTGTTTCCTCCACTCAGAACTGATGAATCAAGTGGAGCTGGAAGATGAACTTGGGCAGTCATCAGTCTAGAACTCTCTGGAACAGAAGATGTAGCTGAGACTGGCCAGGAACCAATGATAGATTCAAAGACATGGACAATCTCAGATCCAACATTTTCCCCAACTGTATCTACTTTATTATGAAGTCAGAGGTGGAACAGACATCCACTTTGTCACCGTACCAGTCCTGTCAGAATCAGACAGATCCAACTGTTGGCACAGGAGCCAGCTTTGGTAACAGCAGACGTTTTGTCTCTGTGCTTCTTGTTTGGTGCTGTGGTAGATGGAACCAAAGGAGCTGCCAGCTCAGATTCTGGCAGACGGATCAATTCCATCTTTCTGAATCCAGAAGCAGAAGGTGGAACTGACCCTGATCTGCAACTGCAGGGTTTCCACAAGCTTCCAATAATCAGAAGGCACAAGGTATAGTACTGCTGGGCATGGCTGAGTTGACTCTTAACCATACTTCTAGAAACATGACAGTCAGATCCAGTAACATGGCTCTTCACTCAGACATCTGTAGCCTCAGGGGCTTGACAGAGAACTGCAGGAACTGAGTCTGACCCAGGCTTCTTGGAAACCTTGTGGCTGGTCACAGAAGCAGTCTGGCCTCATAGCCATGTTAACTAGGACCTGATTGGATCTGTAAGGACTAGACCTTGTTGGGAACACAAATTCAGCACTACAGCATAGGGGCCACTAACCCTGGCTCTGCAGTCTGAAATTTCAGTGCAATTCAGGACCACGCTTTCTTCTCATAATACCAGCTACACCGATAAGGTTATGGAAAGCCTGAAGAATTATCACTTTATCCCAAAGGTTTCTGTTACATGAAGGCAGATTCAGGCTAAAACAATATATTAAGTACCAGGTGTCTTACAGCATACGGAAGGAAGGTGGATGTGTCTGAGGGCACTGCATGCAACTTTTACCTTTAGATTTACCTTTCCAAATGCACAAGAACAGCTTATACTCACATAGAGAATGCACATTGAGTAAGTAGCATTAACTTCTTAGACGGCATCTCAGCATTATCATTCAGGCTTGCTGTTCTTGCAGTACATCCTAGTTTTCAGCATAGAGCATTGCACGAAGAATGAGTGACTTGCTTTGCTCCAAGCTGCCAAACTGTTCAAGCCTGCCATAATATATTTTCAAAACATATGCCTCATGCCTTCACTGTAAAAGCAGCTGATTTAGCAAACCCTTATTTACCCTTTGACATCAGCGGGGCTTGCTTTGTGAGAGGAGAGCGTCACTGTAGTGAAGTCTGCACAGACAAGTCCTATGCTTGTAACAAGTTTTCCCAAGAAGCACCAAATTTCAGATGGCACAACACACCATAAGGGTGGCCCAGCATCAATACAGAAGTAAGTATCAATGTGTACTTTCAAAAGTGTCCTTCATATTTCAGATTAAGCTCTACAATGAATCCAAGCAAGTTCTCACATAAGACAAGAAACACTGACTTAAGGCTAGCTTCACCCATTTCTTTCTCAAGAGTCATTCCCCAGTCTAGCCTAGGAACCTTGTATTTGGGTTCTATATTGTGAAAACAGGCAGCAAGCCCTATTCAATACTTTAGTACAGTTTTTAGTACTCCGGTGCATTCTGGGCCTGATTCTAAGCTCAGTGAAGTCACTGTATTTAATAGGGTTTGGAGCAGGCCATTAGGCTGGTATAGATGGTTTAAAATTCTCAGAAAACAATGTTTAAAACAAAAAGTGAATCAAAGAATGGAAACCCAAGTGAGCAGGATACCTCAACAAAAGGTTGATGAAATCAGGAAGACAGCAAAAATCTTGTTATCAAAATACCTCCCAAAGATATTAAAGGGAGTGTTAAAACACAGTAGCACGCCAATATGTGCAAGTCTGATTAAAAAGACACACCACACACACAAATAAGAGTTTATCAACACAAAACTGTTTAATATTTATTAAATGACACAAAATACCTAGATAACAGACTCACTCTTTGAAAGGACATATATTTACATTATTTACCAACTTAACAAAGACTCTCTGTACCCATTTTAGACTTGTTATGAAACATTAAAAAGGTTTTGCTTTTTGCATTAGAGGACGCAAAGGTGACATGCCCCATTTGCAAATCTGCATAACTATAACATTTTGATGCAGTAAACAAGCACAATTTTATAGTCTAGTGGCCGAGTGAAGAGGCTTTTTAAAAGTAACAGGGTTAGTTTTTTCCCACTCCAGACATACTTCTGAAGAATTGTTATACAAAAAGTATATTACATTTTTTTTGAATGCTGCTGTACTCTTACAACTTTACTGTAACTTTTCAAAGAAAATACTCTTCCTATTATATGAAATCACTAAAAAACAGTGGCATTTCAACTTTTTTTTAGATGCACAAATAAAACATTGTTTAAAAGAAAGCATTAGGGCAAATGATATGTTTAGGGAAATGAAAAATACTGTGACAAAAATGAGCATTAGATCAAAATATAAACCACAGCTAAAGCAACTTAACAAATTTGTTAGGTCTCTTATTAACTATTTACTTTGGCACCTTTGTGTGAACTATAGAACAAAACAATGTTTACAACACTTTCGCAATTACAGCATTTAAACAAAATGGTCACTTTTTTTAAACCAGCCAAGACAAAAAAAAAGTCCATTTATGGGTATAAAGATTAAAAACCTAAAATATATACTTCTAAGAATAAACTGCATTTTCTTATGAACAAGTCTGCTATAAACTGCATGCAAGAGTCAGGATTAAAAATGTGGCCAGACAGACAATCTGTTCAATAGCCAAATGAGTTGTGGTCCAAGCCCACTAAAACAAAATTAATATTGTGGCTCAATAGGCAGGCACATGATCCCAGCAAGTATAGCTGGATGCTAATCTTGGCTACAGCTTTGTCACTAACCAGGAGCAAAAACCACTAGAGAAGAAATGAACAATTTGTTGGGGGATATGCCAGTGTGGTAAATAAAGGGATATGAGGACATACTTTCCCCTGCTTTTCTTCAGTATCTAGTTTAGCCAGCATTCTCATAAACCATTCATTGAGTTACTTGAATAGCTGAACTCCAAGTGAAAAGGTTAATTTGGTTTTCAGTGTCAAATCTTTGAAGCATGATGACAATTTAGGACATGAATTTCCTACACAATAGTCTCTGCATTTACATGTTGAAATAAATGGAATTATCAAAGTAAACAAAAAACCCTCACAAAATCTTCTGGCTAATTATAGTTGAAATTTAACACCCATCTAATTAGAGAGTCTAACCATCTCATTTTTCAATATGTGGCTTTGGTTGTATTTAACTGCTGCAACAGATTGGAGCAGGGGCAGTCAAATATGTTGGTTTCCATCCTTCCCTAAAAGGGAACCTTTTGATGCCCCTCCCCCAACAATATCCTAGAGAGAAAAGAATCCCCACATACATGGAGAAGAGACACACAATGCAACTGATACTGAAAGAAATTTAAAAATAATATAGAAAAGCCATGATCTTAATTTCATTGTTATACTCTCCCTAGTGGCTCTCTGATTGTGAGCTAATAATTAAAGGCTTGTCTGACTCCCTGCCAAAGCAGTCTCCAGCAAGAAACACCCGCCTGGAAAAATTATCCCTCTTGAAGGTAAAGGTGGCTCTGAATGTCTCTCACTGGATCAGAATGACAACAAACAAGTAGGCAAAAAAACTAACAGGTTTTTTACTATGGCTCATGTGGAGAGCTGTGCACATTTTACAGGAAGTCAGCTTTGAGGGAAGGATAAGAAATAAGCGGTACTGTTTATTTGGGACAAGCTACCTTCTTTTCTTCTATCAAGTGAGCACTTTTGGTAAAAAGTTTGAGGAAAAAAATTGAGACAACTTATACCATACATATGTGCTCACACACTCACTATAGGGATTATGTATTCCACAGGGCCTTAAATTGACAAAAGAATAGATTAAGAATAGGTGAGTGCCAATCAGACAGGTTAAGGAAAGGCCATTATTATTATTTTTAAATAAAGTAACATTTTCTTGCCTCCAAGGGTTGTCTGGCATTTCTCAGGGATGTAGATGCCTGAAAGTGGATCAGAGTCTTCATCCTGCTATGCAGCATGGCTGAAACTAGATGACTGACCAGATGATGTGCAGAGGAGTGTTCAAATATCTGTAAAAACTGGAAAAAATAACTTATGCTGCCACTTTATGATCTTGAAATATTCTGCTTAGAGAAAAAAAGGTTCCTGTTGCAAAAATGTCAAGCACTGTTTGGTGAGTCTCTGTATTCAAGCAATTTTTTACTCCCAGGTTTCATAAAGATCCAAATAATGCTCATGTAAACGAAGAAAACAGGATCTAGGTGTCTTAAAGTAATATTTAAGTATCTTTCTGTATGAGAGGTAGACTTTGGGCTCTTGGAAGCAAAGCCTGCTACTGTCCAGGGCTGAGTTCTTAAAGCTTTAGGTTGGATTGAGTTAATACCTAAAAGCAATACAAGGCAGGACACGTCTATAAGATTCTCACCCTTTCTAAACCTAAGATGAAGTTCAAGCCATTTAGGTTGTTGCAAAGAAAAATAGTATTAAAATCCATTTGTAATTTTTATTCATGTAGGGTTGTTGTTGTTGTTTTTGGCAAAAACAGTTGCTTTTTGCCTCACTTTAAAATACATTTTTTGCTGAGTACTGTTGCAGAGAGTTGTACTCTCCTGCCCATGGCTAGTAAGAACTGAGTTTCTGTTGCTGCTGTTTTATATTAAGAAGAGAGCAAATACTTTACATTTTGGGGTAAACCATATAAATACAAGTCTAAGCTTGTTTAGAGTTTTACTATAGCACAGTTATTTAAAGAATGGCACATATTCTGTAACCTTACAAATCATTTTATGCTGTTACGAATTCATTTACATTTTGTCTGAATTGGAAGAGAAGATGTTTTCTACATAATAAGCATAACTTGACTTGGTAATTATTATCCAGCCCCAAGGGTGAAATCCAAATAGGAGTGAATCAAAATCATTGGTCATTTTGCTATTTGATAGATATATCCAGTATTCTGTACAGTAAATTAAAAGTTTGCATGCAGTTTAAGCATTTTAAAGGCTCTCTTCTGTATGTTAATTAACCTTCTGCTTCATACAAGTGTAAAAGAACATTAGCCATATACCAAGGGACTCCTCTTCAGACTCAGAGACAAATGGAATCACAAAGACCAGGTACTTTCTTACAGTTTTCTGCACATCATACTAAATAACATGCAAAGAGTTCAACAGCATTCTTCTTAAAATGTAAATAGTACTCTTTAAATGGGCATGTTAACCACTGAAAAAAGTTCACTCTACTATACTTTTCCATTACACCGCTTTCATTCATTCCTCGGTAGTATAAAAAGTCAAATAATGGGATCAACAGGCTAGTTTATCCACCGGCAATTTAGTATACACCAAATGTGCAGAAAAACAAAGGCCAACATATGTTTATGCAATATAGTTGTACTGGTTTGGGTTCTCTTTGTCTCTTTCCATGTAGTCCCTGTCAATTAAGGATTCTATTCTCTTCTTAAGGTCAGCAGGCTGTAAAATAATGCAGATCATCAGTATTCTTTTTTTTTTTTTTTTGCAGACATCTTTACAAAGTTTCTGATCACTCAATTCCTTCTACTTCAACATTACATCAACTCACTTTTCAAATTACCACCTGAATACTTAAATATCTTATTGATCAATTAAAGGATTTTCCATGGCATTTCTGTAAGTACAAAAGCATGATAGATCTAAAATGTTTTTCACAGAAATAAAAAGCCAAAGCCTGATTGTCAAACAGAAAGCCCCATTAAAACTGGAGTTCAGGCAAACATACTGCCCATAATGTAATGCTTGCGTATTTTCTAAATTAGATCATAAAAAGGTATTTTGTAACAAAACAAAACAAAAAATGCTTCTGACCCATGCTCTCACCCAGTAACAGAGATGTACTTTGTACATTTGGAAGCATATTGCTTAATGCTAGGCTACTGCAATATATCTAGGCTGCTGCAAGGCAAAACCCCCATCATGAACAAGGGAGAAAGAGCGTGCCTGGTAGGGATGTGAATGTTTAACTCATAAGCCTCAACCTTGGTGTTTTCAAGAAAGCTACAGAAGAAAGTAGCAATACTTTCTATTTTACATTTCTTGCACTGGAGAATACCAGAAGTTACAGCTGGCTTAAGAATGAAACAAGTTATGTACACGTTTATTCGCAAACTAAGATCCGAATTCAATATGAACTTGGATGGATCTCTCACTATGGATACAGGTATCTTGGTCATTGTTTCAAACAACCATCAGCTAAAGGTGTTTTTAAATCTTAATTTCCACAAAGTGTTAGCCAGAACTATTTGTCTGAAAAGTTGTATTAGGTATATGGTGGTCTCTTCTTTATAGAGAAGTTTGAACTAAGCAGTTGGGAAGCAGCACCAATACTGGCACATCTAACAAAATTCCTAGAAGTAATAGCTTCCCTTCCAAATAAGAGTATTTCACTGGCTGTATTATTTATTTGACAGATCTCTGTGGCCAGATCTACACTGGCAGAGAAAAATCAATATAAGTTATGCAATTCTTTCTACAACAATTGCATAGCTGGAGTTGATACACCTTTCATCGATTTTATGAGGTGGCCCCACAATGGGAGGTGGTGACTTCCCTTACACCTTGTGACTGTGAGGAGTACTGCAGTTGACAGGGGCATCCTCAGCATTTGATTTAGTGGGTCTTTACTAGATCCACTAAACTGAACCTCAGAAGATCGATTGCCGGAGTGTCGATCCTCCGGTAAGTATAGACAAAGCCAATAACACCAATTAGGAGAAAGTATAGTAAGGGACCATAACTTATAAAACAAAAGAAAATCAGAAATTTACCTTTACTGGGAATTTAAGCTGGTTGTACACCTCTGACACAAGCAAATTGTGGCTCAGAGTCTTGCGCATCTTCATGATTCGCACAATTGCAGCATCAATCTGGTACTGCCGGTCCTGAAATACTCTCTCTGTAGTGCTTGCCTGCTCCTCTACCTGGATGAGCAGTTTAAAAAGAAGTTTTAAAAAGCACACTAAAATAGTCAAAGTAATCCTTTTCTGGTTATCTGACCTATAGACAGCTGCACATATACCACAGCATTTTTGGTGTCAAATATTTGTCTGACTTCCTTCTAAAGTCCTTTTTGGAAGGCTGTCTACAAAGAGAAACACGCTCATACAGGTGATTAAAATAGTTTGTTTCTGATATTAGGAGGAATCCAGTGACAAGTTAACACCTAGCCATAATATAGAAAACAAAATTTCAATGAAGGCTCTGAATTCTCTTATTCCCATGTAATCTAATCAGATTAAGCCATAGCAGTTTGCAAACATTTTATTTAGTACAGCTTCAGAAAATAAAAAGGTAAATGGCACAAACTACAAGTTCTATTTAAAGTCTGTCACATTCCTAGAAATATGGGAAGATCATGAGACTGGATTAATAGGATATTTGCAAGGGAATCTGATTTTGTTTGCAAATTTAAATTTAAACCCTATGGTTCACTTGCCACACAAAGTACACCTGCATACTTCATGAAGGTGACCAAATATGCAAACCCAACACTGGACAAAGAAAATTTACTGTATTTTTAACACATGCAAAAATAATCAAACTATGGATCAGGAGAAAGGGCAAGAGGGCAGCAATTGAAAGAAAACAAACCCCAAACCCATACCGTTTCTTTCATCTGGATTTGGTTGATCTTTATCCTGAAGAGTTTGTGTCTGAAATCATCATTGCATGTAAATTTATCACCATCTTCCACATCTTTGCCTTTTGGACTTTTAGTCAGTACTCTAGCTTTGCCACAAGCTAATGACTGGAGTGTTCTCCTTAACTCTCCATCCTCTAAAACATAAACAAACTGTTTAGTATTTTAGACAACAGTATTCAGACACCATTAACTGCATTTAATACTGACCTATCCCAGTAGCTTGCTTTATCTCCTCTAAACTGAACTCCTCTCCTTCATTAAACATAAGTAGCACCAGTGTCTGGAACAAAGAGACTTGAAGCTCTTTTTTTCCCTGTTGAGGTTGAAATGACCAGATGTTACTAAGTCTTCTTGAAAAGAAAGTAAAAAATTATTCTTCATGTGTTGTACATTAATTCAAATGAAAACTAAGCCTGAAGGAAAGCTATCCATTTTACTCAGCTCATGAGTCTGAAAAGGAATATTATTAGCCACTATGTGCTAACTATGAAATACAGCACCAGTCTTAGACAGTTTGTTCCCAACAACTACAAATATGGTATATATACTTAATGTATAGGTCTGAAAGTAGAAAAAAGTAAAATTCCTGTAATTTATCTATGACAGAAGACAGAATTATACCATCCAAGACCAGATACCCAGATTCATTCACACGCAATACTTTGGTGCCATTGCAGGAGCTACCCAATCTAGATGGTACCACACAGTCATTATATTAAGATATATTCAAGGTGGCTATTACCAATGCTAAATATTAACCATACTGCATAAATTTTTCCTAGAGGCATCCACTATTACAAAGTACCTCAAAATTGACAAAAGCCAGATTTCATGAATACCACAGCAGAAAATAACCTAGAGACCCAAGTACTTGCCTCTTTAAATTCTGCTTTTAGCACACAGTGACCTAGTGTTGATTGCCACTGAAGTTTCCTACCACTGTGTTTTCCCAGGTAAAAGGTTTTGAAAATCTCTTGAAGTTTTACCATCTAGAGAACAGGAAAGAAAAGAAAAACTCCACTTTGAATTCCATTTATTTAAAAACTTAAATAAATTAAAATAAAACAGTTTAAGGAAGAATTAAGTTTAGATACAAAAAACACATTAAGGTTTTATTTTTAAAAAAAGATGTTAACCACATACTTATGTCCTGAAGATTGATCTATTTTAAAAAGTGGCTATATTCCTAAACCCTTTATTCGAAAGGCAGTTAAACATTAAATGTTAACTAATGGCAAGCTTCAAGTAAGAAGTGTTCTACTTCTGTATGCAAAGTGCAGCAAAGTTATCCTTACCTCTGGTGGTAAGTGGACTTCCATAGGCACATAGGTTGGCCAATAACCCATAGTCAGGATGTTCACTGTTAGTTCAATGTTGCCAGGTACATTCTGATTTTGCATATACTGTGTAGAGAAACAAAAGCATTTTGAAAAAGTTGTGTTGTTTCCTTATTCTTACAGGTAAAACTACCAGGAAGTTAAACTGGCATTATCAGTGCCATGTCTGCACAGAATGCAAATAACCTCATTATATATTCTCTGCACAGAATGCCAGTTAATGACATGAGTATTAGAACGAGTATGACAGCATCTTGCAGAGGCTCTCAAAGCACTTTACAAACAGCACAAAGAAACCCTTATACCACCATTGTGAGTAGGAGACTCTTTAAAAAAAAAAAAAAAAGAGAGAAACTGAAGCCAAGAATTTGCAAAAGTTAAAGTTATTTAATGTCAACACACCAAATCATTGGCAGATCCAGAAACACAACTAAGTTGTGGTATACTCCATCCATTAGTTCTTGGCTCATCAGCTTGTAATGCTGTTCAAGGTACACATTCAACAAGTTTGCTTATTTATTTCAATGTATTTCCCACTATAGGTACATTTTCTGCTGATTTTTCCTCTGTTATTAGTCAATACTAATACTAATAAGTCTGAAATCAAAGAGTAAACTAAAGTGGAAGATTCTACAAAGGCACAAACAGGATTGGAGTATTTAGTAGGATATTGAATACTTGCCGACTGACTTTTCAGTAGGAGTTGTGCTTCCAACTGCATTTTGCCTTTGAAAAACCATGCCCTCCCACGGATTTTTGTACAAAAAAGAAACACATTAAAAACTGCACCCTGCAAGTACACATTATTCTCTGTGTCTTCTGAAGGAGTAAAGTTCAAATAGTAAGGAAATAATTTACAACTAGGACATATTCTATATATTTAAACAAAACATTTTGGCCATAACACACTGTGACCCCAAAACCCCCCAATGCCAACTGGCAAGAAGTACAGTAGGGTTATAGGAATCTCTTGGGTTTGCAATGTACATTCTTGTTCAGAGTATTAAATACAAGTCAATGTCATGCTATTCAACAGGATCTCTCAAAATGCATGTATATCTACACTGAAAATTGTTTTGAAGGTCTGTGTCTAGGGCAAGGGTGGGCAATAAACCAGAAGCAGTTCACCATGGTTAGCCCCTAGTGAGCCACTGTCATTTTATTTACCTGCACCTCTGCAGGTACAACCACTTGCAGCTCCCATTGGCCATGGATCACCTTTCCTGGCCAAGGAGAGCTGTAGGAAGCAGTGTCTCAGTCTTATTAGGGACGATCTAGATCGGGGTGGGCAATATAATGGCAGCAGTTCACCAAGGTTAGTTCCTGTGCCTCTGCAGGCATTGGACAATTGCAGTTCTCGTTGGCTGCAAACTGCTGTTCGCGGACAATGCGAGCAGCAGGAAGCAGTGTGGCCTGGGACACTGCTTCCTGTTGCTCACATTGGCTGCAAATGGTGATTCACAGCCAACAAGAGCTGTGATCATCCACTAACTGTGGAGACGCAGGAAAACAGCGGAGGGGGCCTGCCAGGGACTAACCCTATGGATTGGATCCGGCCTGTGGGCTGGAATTTGCCCACCCCGATCTAAATTGTGCTTTGTCTTGCTGTGAGCAGTGGACTAGACCTGATGATTTTGAGGTCCCTTCCAGTTCTAATATTCTCTGATCTGTGGCCAATGGGAGCTGCAAAAGCGACCACAGCTGGGCAGCGTAAGTAAATAAAGCAGTGGTGGCATGCCAGGGGCTAACTCTAGTGAACCATGTCCGGCCCACAGGCCAGTTATTGCTCAGTACTGGTTAAGGGACTGATCACCAGCAAATATGAACAACAGATTTTCTGTCTGTTTAGATGTAAATTAAAGTATAGTTCACCTTGGGT